CCCCAAAACCCCAAAACCCCTACTATGTTTATTTTGCTACAAAATCTAATATAATAATTTAATATATTTTACTTCAAAGAGTAGAAATAAATACAGGATAATAAATGAATTTTAAAACTTCTCTAATTTTTTATTTTGATTGGTGTTTTAAAAGCAAAAGATGAGTAATAATTCACATTAAGTTAATTATTTTAATTAATTACTATCTGATGCTTACCATATAGACTCTGATAATACCAACTACACTTACAAAGCTCTCACAGACTACAAAGGACTCACTTGATTAAAGATTAACCTATCTATATAAAATTTATTGGCACTGTTGATGAAAGTTAAGGAGGAGGAAAGCTTGAAAGTATTAGTGCAAGTATCGATGGTTCACTTTGGACACTTCAATAAAGTGAATCCGATGATCACTAGCTAATAAAGTGGTTAAAAATCTCTTAAAAATGGTACAAGATTGATGGAGCTGAAGGAACTCTCTGCTTATGATTAAATATCAGTCGCTGTTGTTATCTCAAGAGCACTCCTTTGTCTTTCATTACAGGTCAGCTAGCAAAGGGAGGCAAAATATGCTTAAGGGTTAGGTACCAAAGTATACCTGTTACTGAGACTTATCCTATATCTAATATACTGACTAATGATGATTTCAAGTGGCTAGAAATTGCAATTCCCTCTGTTGTATTTGAATTATGCAATGATTCTGAAACAATTACAGAGAATTCTGATTCATTGGATATTCAATGTGGTGGAAAGAATAATCAAATAATCTTTCAGAATAATAAAAAGGCAAATGGCTCAATTGTTGGGATCAGAGCTTATGTAAAGGATGGATAAGATTATTTATTGATCCTGCTTAAGTTACTGATCCATTAGCATAAGTTAATAATGATGGAGAGTAAAGGTCCTCAGTAATTATAAGATTTCATACTAAAAAGATAATAGAATTTTAATTTGGTCCAAAGCCATTCTATTGAGATCAAATTAAAGAGAGGAAAGAGAATAATTTAGAAAACCTTGCACTTAAGTACTGTCATTCTGGCTTAGAATATTTAGAATTGCTATATGGCTTTTCTATCTAGGTTATTCCAAAATATTGATAATTTCAAATAAATTATTTCTAAACATCAATAAAGTAACATCAAATTTGCCTATTTTTTATAAAAATGCCTGCAGCCAGTAGATGTAAATATACTTTAATTATTGATTATTAAAAAGTATTTAAGGTGTTTAGTTCTTAATACATTTATTCTACAAAGAATTGAAAAATACAAGAATATATTATTTGATAAAATATTGATAAAGTTTTTCAAACAGGGGTTTTGGGGTTTTGGGG